TGAGACCAAGTGAAGCAAAATCAAGTGATGTATTTGCCTACTTCAGAGAAGAGCCCAGGCAGAACCAAAGGACTACCCAAGAGATTCTACAACAAATGGCTTTGCTTAAAGAACATCAAGGCAGAGAGTTCTGCTAATTGGACACACGATTAAAATCTGAAAACCAGGCCGGGTGTGGTGGCTCGCGCCTGTAATCCCAGCACTTTGGGAGGCCGAGGCAGGTGGATCATGAAGTCAGGGGATCGAGATCATCCTGGCTAAGACGGTCAAACCCCATCTCTACTAAAAATACAAAAAATTAGCCAGCCGTGGTAGCGGGTGCCTTGAGATCGTGCCACTGCACTCCAGCCTGGGTGACAAAGCGAAGACTCTGTCTCAAAAAAAAAAAAAAAAAATCTGAAAACCAATTTTACTGAAGTCTTATCTTAATCTACTTTTCTGGAGACAGGCTCTCGCTCCAAAAAAAAAAAAAAAAAAATCTGAAAACCAATTTTACTGAAGTCTTATCTTAATCTACTTTTCTGGAGACAGGCTCTCGCTCCTCACCCAGGCTAGAGTGCTGCGGTGCAATCATAGCTCACTGTAACCTTGAACTCCTGGGTTCAAATGATCCTCCCGCCCACCTCCCTAGTAGCTGAGATTACAGGTGTGCACCACCACACCTGGCTAATTTCTTTTCTGTAGAGATGGGATCTCGCTATGTTGCCCAGGCTGGTCTCAAACTCCTGGCCTCATGTGATCCTCCAGCCTTAGCCTCCCAACGTGCTAGGATTACAGGCTTCAGCCAACGTGCTCAGTCGAATTTTACTTGTCTTATTAACCTCAAGTGATCCATGAAACAGAATAGAATGATGATTATCGGGGGCACGAGTGGAAATGGGAGATGTTGGCCAAGGATACAAACTTTCAGTTATAAGACGGGTAAGTTCTGAAGACCTAATGTAGAACATGGTAACTCCAGTGAATAATAATGTATTGTATACCTGAAGTTTGCGAGGAAAGTAGATCTTAAGGATTCTTACCACAGTAAGGGTAGCTATGTGAAATGATGAATGGTTAATTAATTGGATTGTGGTAATCATTTCACATTGTACCTATATTAAATCTCCATGTTGTATATCTTAAATATATTCAATTGTTTTGATCAATCATACCTCAGTCATGCTGGGTTAAAAAAAAAGTGCTCCACGAAGATGAGTAACACCAGTATTTGTAGCTCTAGGTACTTTGGTTGAATGTTATGCAAATTCAACCTATTTCTTTAAAAAAAAAAAAAAAAACAAAAGACTTCGAATTCCTGACCTAAGAATTTATATTCGGCCGGACATGGTGGCTCAAGCCTATAATCCCAGAACTT